CAAATCGCCTTCTATTTGGGTTTCAACAATGTTAATTTTTTAAAGAGAGAGTAAAGTCGAGGGAAAGAATTAATTTTGAATCCGATTTTACCCAGTTGGTAAAAATCAGAATTTATGGTGATTTTCAGGAAACTCGCACAATTTATAGAGTAAGGAGTTTTCTAAAGACAGCAAAAATTGCAAAATCACTACTTCAATTAATTTCGAAAATACAAATTTTTAAAAGAGCAAGCGCAGCTGAGTTAAAACCTGCATTATGACACCGATATTTCCAAAGCTGGTAAAAATAAGGATTTTAAGGGATTTTAATGAAAGTTGTCGGGGTTTAGAGCGAAGTATCTGCTAAACACTACATGAATTTCAAATCGCTTTTTTTTTTGGGTTTCAAAAATGTGAATTTTTTAAAAAGAGAGTTAAGTCGAGGAAAAAATCAGTTTTGAGACCGATTTTATCCAGCTGGTAAAAATCAGAATTTAGGGTGATTTTCAGAAAACTCGCCCAATTTATAGAGTAAAGAGTTTTCTAAAGACAGCAAAAATTTCAAATCACTATTTCAATTAGTTTCGGAAATACACATTTTTAAAAGAGGAAGCGCAGTTGAGTGAAAACCTGCATTATGACACCGATATTTCCAAAGCTGGTAAAAATTAGGATTTAAAGCGATTTTTATGTCACTTTACGGGTATTTAGAGCGAAGAATGCGCTAAAAATTGCATGAATTTCAAATCGCCTTCTATTTGGGTTTCAACAATGTTAATTTTTTAAAGAGAGAGTAAAGTCGAGGGAAAGAATTCATTTTGAGTCCGATTTTACCCAGCTGGTAAAAATCAGAATTTGTGGTGATTTTCAGAAAACTCGCACAATTTATAGAGTAGGGAGTTTTCTAAAGACAGCAAAAATTGCAAAATCACTACTTCAATTAATTTCGAAAATACAAATTTTTAAAAGAGGAAGCGCAGTTGAGTGAAAACCTGCATTATGACACCGATATTTCCAAAGCTGGTAAAAGTAAGGATTTTAAGGGATTTTAATGAAAGTTGTCGGGTACTTAGAGCGAAGCATCTGCTAAAAACTACATGAATTTCAAATCGCTTTCTTTTTGTGTTTTTGCACATTTTACATTAAGGAGTTTTCTAAAGACAGCAAAAATTTCAAATCCCTACTTGAATTAGTTTGGAAAATACAAATTTTTGAAAGAGGAAGCGCAGTTGAGTGAAAACCTGCATTATGACACCGATATTTCCAAAGCTGGTAAAATTAAGGGTTTTAAGTGATTTTAATGAAAGTTGTCGGGTACTTAGAGCGAAGCATCTGCTAAAAACTGCATCAATTTCAAATCGCTTTCTTTTTGAGTTTCAAAAATGTGAATTTTTTAAAAAGAGAGTTAAGTCGAGGAAAAAAATCAATTTTGAGACCGATTTTATCCGGCTGGTAAAAATCAGAATTTAGGTTGATTTTCAGRAAACTCGCACATTKTACASAGTAAGGAGTTTTCTAAAGACAGCAAAAATTTCAAATCMCTACTTSAATTAGTTTGGAAAATACAAATTTTTGRAARAGGAWGCGCAGTTGAGTRAAAACCTGCATTATGACACCGATATTTCCAAAGCTGGCAAAATCAGTATTTTAARCGATTTTTTTTTCTGCGTTTTCTGRACGAAKTATTCGCTAACAATTGGGAGAACTGGAAATTCCGTTSKGATTGGGTCTCAAAAATGCAAATTTTCTAAGAAGGAAGCGCAGTCACCGAAAATCATCCATTTTTGACCCATATTTACCCAGCTGGCAAAAATCACAATTTTGGGCAGTGTTTTTGAAACTCTCAAAATCTTTAGAGTGAAGTGTCTTCAAACACATGTAAAATGTTCAAATTGATATTTATTTTAGTGTGGAAGATGCGAATTTTTTGAGAAGTAGCGTTGAGTGAAACATGCATCGATATTTGTTCAGTCAAATCAGCCTTTGATCGGATTTTTCCGAAGCTTGCAGAATATTTAGACCGAAGTATCTGCTAAAAACAGTTAAAATCGCAATTTTTTGAGACCAATATTTGCGCCAGCTGGGCAAAAACCAGGAGTGTGGGTAATTTTTATGAAACTTTCAGCACCTTTACAGCAAAGCATTTTCTGAAAGCAGCAAAACGCAGTTGCCAAAAATATTTAACATAGGAAAAATATAGACTTTTTTAATGTAGTAAAATATGCTGTCCGCCGAAGGCATGCAGATGCTATTAGCGTGAATAAAGTTGAGTTTACAAAAAAAATTGGCAATATTCCTTAAAATGGCTGCTCTGAGCCTTTGAACTAAGAAAAACCCGGATTTTGCAGCAACCCGGAAAAGCAGTTGCGATTTTTCTGTATGTTTTTTGTTGATTATGCAATCGTCACTCTATTGAATTTTTCATCTAATCGAAACCTTACCCGCATCAATTGGCCGTTCTGACCGTAATTTGTCTTTGTTGAAAATTTCCATACCTTATCATTCCATCCCATTCGCTCGTTTCCCTGTTGAGGGACCCATAACGACCATCCGGAGCCAATTTTATTGTGTAGTTGAATCCCAGAGTGCGGGATATTTCGTGAATAAGATCCACAGCGTATCCTTCAAATTGAGCGTTTCCCGTCAACTTTTCGCTCGCCTCTTTTCTCATCACGTAAGGAGAGCTCTGGATAACACAACATTCGTTTTATGGATATTTGTTTTTGCTGCAAGCACTTTAAAGATGAAAAACTACTGGGTTCTTTGAACGTTTATATAGTGAGTGTTCAGACTCACCAAAATGGTTGTAACCACAAAAGTTTTGTTTTGAATAATCTCAACGATTTGCGTGTAGGCTTCCCCATAGGTTCTGGTGAAGTTGACGCCCTCACTAGCATTCCAAGTGCCAATTTTCTTCAGTCCCTCCCGCGTTAACTCCACAATGTCCAGCATAAAATCGCTGCGGAATCCTTGATGGTCGAACTTGATGACGCCGGTTAAGCCTCGCATTTCCACCTGCGGGCAATTGCAATAAATCATCCGGGAAGTTTTCCTTTGCAAGTTGCTGGCAACTGAACACAAAGGCAAATGCAGAACCCGGCCATTAAAAACCCATAATCATCGTTCATCCCACACAATACGAAGCCACTGCATCCACGACAAAGACTCCATTTGTACCAAGCAAGGAAAAAGTCCGTCCAAACTGCTGCCAAGTTCTCACGCGCTGCTAACTCCCGTTTAACTTTCAACATTAATCTTGCGGATGCAGTTTCATTAAATTTGATAACTGTGGGCGCATGCAAGTCCAGCCCTGAAAACTTACCACTTTCATGTAGTTAATGAGACTATAACCGTGAGGCCAAAAGTCAACGGCATCGCAGCTCAGTGGCTTGATATCAATTTGTTGGCTGGTGTCCAGATCGTGAAGAGC